ATGCCAATGCATTTGAAAATGTTTTTCATTTGCATTTGTGGTACCGTTAACAATTTGAGTGCTTTTCTGGTAATTTCGGTCCAGTTTTTTTTGTTTTGTTTTTTATTTTATTTTCAACGAACAGTTTTATTTACTGAGCAAATTTCTTTTTTTCTTTTCGTTTCCTTTTGGTTTTACGTTTCCTTTTGGTTCAACGTTCATTTTGAAATCGCTACATTATTATATATTTTTGAAATATATATAATAATGATTGTTGTAAAAAAAAAAAAAAAAAGGAAGAAGTCCTACTTTGAAATTCTTTAAGCTGGTGGCATCATTACAGATTAAATAAAGACTAATGGAAAAGTAAGGAAAAACTAGGGATGTACCGAAGCCAAGAATTTGCCGACGCTGAAGCTTCTGACGAAGTCACTTTGCCAACTTTATAATTATAAAGCTAAAGTTTGCTATCTTGCGTATCATTCTAACAATCCTAATTATCTAACTATATTACTAACAAATAATTTGAAAAAAATAACATTCCTATCCAGTCCGCATACGGTTCTAAAAAGACGTACATTAAAGGTTTTTCAAACGTTCTAAACGCCTTTTAAAAGTTCAAAAGACGTGTTTTTCAGACCAAATGCCGGCTAAATAAATAATACTACATAATGTAATACTACAGTTACACTTCTTTTAATGCCCAAGATATTTCATTATCATTTTTTTTAACTAACAATTATGATCATTAAAAAAATACCCTTACAAAGTTAAAGACTTTTAGGCTATAGCATTGCCTTTTTGCTATTTATTTTTTTATATAAAATCTTTTTTTTTAAAAAAATACTAAACTATAGTCACAATTTTTTTTTTAATTTCTTTATAAATAATAAGGAGAGAAAAAAGAAATCAAGTTAATTTTGAACAAAAAATAATTCATTTGTAAGCCGGGGAAGGGGGGTGTCTTCAAAAGCATACAGGTTCGTAAAAGATAGGAGGGGGGTCCTAAATCAGAGGTTTTACTGCGTACGTACTTTATGGATGTTTCCTTACAAAAAAATTTAAAAAAACTTTACAAAATTCATTTTTGATTCCTCCCCTTCTCCTCCCACTCTCAAAAACCCATTGAAACGTTTAGAAACAAAAGAAGACGGAGAAAAAAACTATAATTTATAACTATTGGATAAAAACTATAAAATAGTCTTTCTTTAAATAAAAAATGTACAATCACAAAAATGTTTTATAATTAATGTACATAATAAAAAAACAAGCCCTCCTCCCCCAACCTCTCAAACACACATGACTGCAAATGGTTAAGATTAACTCTTCCCATCATTTTTACCAAAAAACAAAGCATAATCTAAAAATAAATAAATCAATCTACGAAAATAACTCTAATTTTATTTTTGAAATTTTCTTCATTGACCCTGCCCCTACTATAAGTGCAAAAACTTAAATTTTTTGCATTTTTAGACAGTTAGGACCAAATTTTCATCTTCACTGGTGGGGGAGTTTTTTTTTCGATTTGGAAAAAAGTATTATTATTTTAAGTTAATACAAGTAAAAGTTCATCTTTTGCTGCTATGCCATTTCCGAAAAAATGAAATATGTTTTTTAGTCATACCCCTAATACATATATTTATGTTAAAAGAGTAATATTATTAACAAACTTTGTGGGTTATGATAATAACATTCTTTTAAAATAACTTTTTTTTTTTAAGTTATCTTGATTTTTTATTAAGGCTTTACTTTATTAAAAAAAAAACATTTAAAATCTAGCATAGTGAGATTTATAAATAAGAACAACCGTTTAGATTCTTTTTTAAATCGATCAAGAGTAGTTTTCTTTTTATTTGTAATAACTGAAAATAAATTCCATAAATACAGTCCACGATACATAATTGAGTATGAACTCAATTTTAGACTATATCTGGGGACAGCACAGTTGTTTACTGAGAATCTTGTGCTATATTTATGGCAGATTTCACTAAAATAGGATTCAAATATTTTTGTCGACATTCCTAGCTTAGTTCTATACAGAAAAACTAAAATTTCATGTAAATTTATTTTATAAATATTTAAAGCTCCAAGTAAACACAATAAAGGCTCACAGGGTTCTGGTCTATTTGCTCCAAATATAATTCGACATGCATGTTTTTGTTTACTGTAAAGCCTTTTTAATTTTGTATGATTGGTACTTGCCCAGGTGATATGATAGTATATTAGGTAACTTTGGATAAAAGCAAAGTATAAACCTTTTAGTGATTTAAATCAAGAAATGGTTCTGTAAATCTATAGCTCTATAGATCATTCCTATATTTCTAGAATTTTTTTTTCATGACTGTTTATATGAAAATTCCATCTTAAATTTTCGTCCAATTCAACGCCTAAAAAGTTTACCGATGATTCTCTTTTAATTATAGCTTTATTTATAATAAGATTTGGTAATTTTAATGGGACGTTATCAGTTTTATTACATTTTTAGAACAAAATGAATTTAGTTTTATTAGCATTCAGAGAAAGTTTGTTATTTAGAAACCACTCATTAACTTTATCTAATTGTTCATTAACATATTTAAAAAGTTTATTAATATCTTTGTGTGAATAAAAGAGATTAGAGACATCTGCAAATAGAACAAAATTTATAAGATTTGATGATAAATAAAGATCATTTATGTAAAGTAGAAACAACAATGGCTCTAGAAGAGAACCTTGTGGAAACAACAATGGCTCTAGAAGAGAACCTTGTGGAAACCCACAGGTTAATGTGTGTTTAACTATTTCTTTTGAATCGTAGCATGTGAATTGTTTTCTGTTTTTTAAATAATTTTCAAACCAAAGTAAATTTTATTTCTAATGCCATAGAATTGGCATAAGTGCGCCGAATAAGATTGCAAATTTGGCATAAGTGCAAATTGTTATTTCGCTCTTATGCCGATTCGCACTTCTGCCAGTTCGCACTTATGCCAATCTTTATAAAATTATTCGGCGCACCTATGCCAGTTCGCACTTGTGCCAGTTTTTTTTTAACAGCAATACTCACTTATGCCAATGTTTGCAGATTCTTTTGGCGCACTTATGCTAATTTGCACATATGCCAGTTCGCACTTATTCCAATTTTTGCAACGCTTCGCACTTATCATAAGTCTTATGCTTATTCAGCCTATTTTATCATAAAAAAGACATTGATATAGCTTTATATAAGTTTTTTTAACCATTTTAAATCTAAAATCTATACTGTTATATAATAATTGTAATCAAGGAAAAAAACAAAACAAATTTGTACGTTGAGTGTAAAAAATCTAAATAGTATTATTATTAGTAATAATATATATATACATATATATATATATATATATATATATTATATATATATATATATATATATATATATATATATATATATATCTATATATATATATATATATATATATATATATATATATATATATATATATATATATATATATATATATATATATATATATGTATTATAAAGCAAAATCTTTATATATATATATATATATATATATATATATATATATATATATATATATATATATATATATATATATACATGTATTATAAAGCAAAATCTTTATATATATATATATATATATATATATATATATATATATATATATATATATATATATATATATATATATATATATATATATATGTATTATAAAGCAAAATCTTTATATATATATATATATATATATATATATATATATATATATATATATATATATATATATATGTATTATAAAGCAAAATCTTTATATATATATATATATATATATATATATATATATATATATATATATATATATATATATATATATATATATATATATATATATATATATGTATTATAAAGCAAAATCTTTATATATATATATATATATATATATATATATATATATATATATATATGTATTATAAAGCAAAATCTTTATATATATATATATTATATATATATATATATATATATATATATATATATATATATATGTATTATAAAGCAAAATCTTTATATATATATATATATATATATATATATATATATATATATATATATATATATATATATATATATATATATACATACATATATATATATATATATATATATATATATATATATATATATATATATATATATATATATATATATATATAAATATATATATATAATAAGGTTTTTTATATAATAAAGTATAAAAAAATTTGTTTTGTTTTTTTCCTTGATTGCAATCTTTATTATGAAAAAAAGAAAAGAAACTTCATGTAAACAACTGTTTCTTTTAAGAATGCTTTCATGATATATCTGTGTATTTTCTTTCTTTCATGCAGTTCTGCGCATAAGGAACCATGACGTGCTACTAACTATGGGCGCGCGAAGTTATTGGAACTGTGAAGAGTTCTATTATTAACGGGAATAGTTCTTTGTAATCTTGAAAAAAAAAAAACAGGAATGTTGTGATAATAAACGATTAGCGGGAGAGTTCTTTTTAGCGAAACTATTTATTTAGGACCCTCTTATTCCTTATAAGCACTCGTATGCTTACAACGCCCCGCTGCGTATGTACACATTTACTGCACCTTCCCAACGGATAATTTTTTAAAACTTTAACAACAAAAACCTTTAATTCAACATTTTTGTTTAAAAAAAGAAGTCAAGTTTTTGGAAAGATAAAGAACAACAGATTGCCAAACCGCGTACGTACTCACTGTCTTAAACATACCCCCCCCCCTCTTTCCCTTCTTCCTTCTTATACGCATTTATACATGCCAATAGTTGTGTTTCCCCAAAGAAATTATTGTAGTCTTTTAAAAAAATGCAGATTTTCAATAACAGGTTTTTTTTTAACTTTAACTCAAAAAAAAAAAAAAAAAAAAAAAAAAAAATAAATTATAATAAATTATAATAAAAATAAATTTAATGGTGAATTCTTTTACATCAAGTGAATCTGATATAAAAAATCCCGTCGTGACGATAAGCAATGAAAACAAAATTTAATATCTGTGTCTGTTTTATTTTATTTATTTACAAGCTTTGTAAGCATAATTGACAGGGAAAAATTTAAAAATCGAAAAAAATTTATAACTGCATAAAAACACACGCACAACAAATATAATAACAATTTGACTTTTACTACACAATTTCTGTTGACGATTCTGATGATTCCACCTATTTTGGCTCATACTATATAATGAAATCTTGATGAAGAAATCTTAATGATAGATGAAAAATAGTTTACAAAAACATGCTTCTTCTGTTTAGTAAATATTCAATCATTTATTACTGCATTCAACGTTTGACGAGGTGTGAGGTACCGTTTCCAAATATTAAACGCAGTACACGATAATCTTTTTTATACGAATATCGAACTTTATACGACACAATTTAACACGAATACACGAGAATCTTATATGATTTAGATTATAACCTATTTTCTTCTCATTCGATTTGGTTTTATTAGCAGTCGAAGTTTAAAGCGTGTATGTCAGTTTATTTAAATACGAAACTGTCTTATAATATTCTATAAAAATATTTTTGTATTTGTACTGTCAAAGAGCACCGCCATTTAGATGGAACAAAACAAGCTGTCTTTTCTTAGAAATTCTAGTTCGTTTAAAATATCAGAGGCGTATGGATGTGCGCTTGAAACAGGGAGTTTTTCCTTAAAGATTCTATCAAAATTCTAAAACAATTAAAAAAGATTAAATTCTATAATGTATATAAAGTGTTTTAGAATTACTATTAAACATGCAGAACTTATAAATTTTTTATTTCCAAAATAAATCAATTAATCGCTTACTATAGAAACCTTTCGGATTCTCTGAAGAAGATTCAATGCATTTCTTGCAGTATTTCCGTCAGTGTATGTTAATACTTCAAACAACGCCTCAAAAGCGTGAAACAAATTCTCAAGAAATCGATAAACTCCAAAACCACCTAACTCTTGAATTCTAAGATCCATAGCCTGTAACCATGATTGAATACCTGATTGATTTTGCCATTCGAATTCATTTGTGCACCTTTTAGACCAAATGTTTACCCCTGCAATTGCAAATGTAAATAAATAAAATCTGGAAACTACTTAGTTTTTCGATTAAAAAAATAATCGATTTAAAAAAATAATAATAAACCTTGACGAACAACATTAAGAGTGTTTGACGCTTGCTTCATTACTTGTTGCTTGATATTTATACGTTTCCCTTAAAAATCAAGGTCTAAATTTTATATTAACTTAAATTCAAAAGATCTACACATAAAGACTGAATATAAACCATAAAAAAGTGCCAAAAATGATAATTTTTGGTTTGACATTAAAATGTGTTCTATGTACCAAATACTCCACAGTAAAAACAAAGTGATATTTACTGTGAAAGTAGTAACTACTTCTACAACGAAATTCGGTTTATACAGTGAAATGTTTTGGAAATAGTACACATTTTAACATCAATCTTAAAATTTTCATTTTTAGCACCTAGCCCAGATTTTATATTCAGTCTTTACATGTCTAAAAATCCACTATATAAATAAATAATAAATAAATATATAAATAAAAATAGGAGAAATGAAATAAAAACACACATAAAAACTACAAATGTTTTAAAAACTTTGAAAATTAAAAACTTTGAAATAAAATTGCTCACACAAAAAAATATGGCCAGAATTTTAATACAAATTTAACAGACCTAAAAGATCTTGGTGTGACCATAGATTCTTACTTAAATTACAATAATCTTATATCAAATATCGTCTGCGCATCAAACATTCAAGGATATCTAATCCTTAAGTGTTTTAAAAGTCGTGATTCACGTGTTATTGTTAAAGCCTATATAAGACCGATCTTAGAATATTGCTCTCTGGTTTGGTCGCCAAATCGCACTGAAATGAACAATACAGTGGAAAAGTGCAAAGACGTTTTACCAGGAGAATTGCTAACCTAAATAACTTTCATATTTAAATAGACTTAGAATTCTTGGTTTGGAACTACTAGAAATTCTATGTCTTAAGCAAGACATAATTACATGTTACAAAATTCTGAACAATTTAGTTTGCCTAAATAATTAAGCTTCTTTTTATTTAGCAACTATACTTACACTTGAGGACATAATTTCAAATTACGTAAACTAAAATGTGAAATCGATGTCCGTAAATACTCTTTCTCACTTAGGGTTGTTAATATTTGGAATAACTTGCCGTCTGACGTCGTGAACGCCAAAAATATAAAGAGCTTCAAAATTAAAATTAACTCTACCGACTTTAAAAATACTGTTCCGGCTAACTGGTTTTTGTTTTATAACTGTGGTCTTATATATATATATATATATATATATATATATATATATATATATATATATATATATATATATATATATATATATATATATATATATATATATATTATATATAATTGTAATAAATTTTTATATAATTTCGGTTCATTTGAGTACCAGGTTGACATAATTTTTGAAAAAACTTTCTTTTTGAAAATATTAGGGACCCATTAAATATTCGAGGGTCTTGAGGGACCCTTTAAATTATTTTTTATTGAAAAAAAATTTAAACTTAGTGTTTTAAACTTAGTGTTTTTGTATTAGATAGAACACATTTAGGGAGTGAGAGCAGATTATTTTTAAAAAAGTTTTTTTTTGGGACACATTCAACATTTTCAATTTTAACTTTTGTTTTAGCAAAGATATTACATAGGCTGTATCAATTTAAAGAATATTTAATCGACTTTAAACAGGTAAACAACTTTGAAAACAGATACAACTGGTATCACATATATCAACCAGATGTAATTCTATTTCAACAACTGATAAGCTGTTGTCATCTACCACACAGGCAGTAGTCAAACTACTTTCAGTTTACTTAAGGTCATATGAAAAAATGCAAATTTTCAACCAAAATTTGAAAAAAAGTTACTTTTATGTTAAAATATTTTTTGCTTAGAAATGACTCTTATAGTTTGTATCAAACTAAAAGTGTTTAAAATTTTTTTATCAACCCCATAGCAACAATCCCATAGCAACAGAAAAATGAGACTATTTTAGCCATACTACATTGCCAAAGTGCCAAATTTTATAAAACTTCTTTTTATATATGATATAGATTTAAGAAGTTTCTGGACTTTCAAGTCGCATTTGCTTATAAAAATTAAAATTTTTAATTTTTTTTTTTGACTTTTTAAAATGTTTATGAAATGCCACTTTTGTAAAACAATGTTTTTTGAAGTTTTCACACCTAGTCATAAAATTTCAAGGCAAGCGAGGCAAGTTTTTTATTTTTTATTTCATAAATAACATAATAGTTTCTTACTTTTATTGTAAATATATATTTGTTGTTTAAAAAATTTTTTTTTACAGTGCTACCACTATGATGAACACTATGATGAACAAAAAGGGTTTTAAAAAAATAATAAAAATAAACTTTTTTTTTAATCATGAGAAAATGATCATAAGGTGTTATATTCATTTGCTAATTAAATTTTTTAAATATTTCTTTAAAAAAATTTACTTTTTTATTTTTTTTTAGATTAGTGAGTTTTTATTCAAAACAAAAAGGAATCTTTAAAAAATATATATATATCTAAAAATAAGTAAAGAAAAAAACATTGAAAACTTGCTGTTTAGAGTGATATACCTTTTATAATTTATTTTTATTTCTCTTTATTTCTCTATTTATCTACTATCTCTTTTTTTATTATATTTTGAAAGTTTTTTATGACTCTATTTTAGTTCTTTGATTAAAAGACTGACTGAAAAAAAAAAAAAGTTTAAATGTTTCTGTCTCATTCCTTAAATGAGTTTAATATAACACTGGATTTAAAAGTTTTTGAATTAAAAATATTTTTTTGATTTCCACATTTTACAACTGCATATTATAAAAAAATATAAAAAAATATTATAAAAATTTTTCTAATATAGTAAAATAGGAGTTTAATATTTTATTTTGAGTTAAAGGATTTCCAATAAAGTCATTGACCTACTGGTCAGGTTGGCAGTCCATTTGAGACTCAGGTTGACTTGTTGGTCAGGTTGATGCTCCATTTGAGACTCAGAATAATTTATTTTTTGAAGAACTCTTTGTTGAAGTGCAATAATAAAAACATTGTTGGAATTTACCAATATATGATACTAATAGATGCAACCAGTAATAACAAATAAAAGATATTTTAGCCAGTAATAACAAACAAAAGATATTTTAGTCAACAATTTTTAGTTAACAAATTAAGTAAAATGATTTTACTATTAAAAATTGTTGACTAAAATATCTTTTATTTGTTTTGTCTAAATTAATTTTAGATTACAATTTGTATTAAAAAGTTAATATTAAAGTGATTTCACATTTTGAACATAGGTTTTCTACTTCTTTTTTCTTTTTTTCAATTAGCAAAGAAAGTTTAAATATTTCTATTTTTTAGACATTGCTAAAAAAAGTTATCTTGATGTTTTTTATTACTTCTTGCTTTGTCTTGTCTACCCCTGATTTCCACATGGAAACAAAACAGCATCAAAACAAATAATAAAACTATTAACTCTAGATAACTCACTGCATTTTATGTAGTTAGAAGGGAGTCTGGGATCCACTGTGCTTTGATTATGCTCTAAATTAATATCTCGTACAAATTTTAATAACTAAGCGTCATAAGGAATAAAAAATATTTATTCAGACATTTTTTCCTTTCTACAATTTCTGAAATCAAATGATTCTGAATGAAATTTTTTTTCAACTTTGTTACTTTCTATTTTTATAACATCTCTTTAAGCTTCTGCAAAATTTGTGGAAAATAGGGGAGAGTTAATTTTTTTGAACAGCAAAATATATATACTGTAGAATATTTTTTGCAGAAGTTTGCAGAAGTTTGTTCAAGTTTGCAGAAGAAAAAAAAATTTTTTAATATAGGATAACAATATTAATAAAAATTCAAAATTTTCTAATATTCAAACAAAAAATTCTGAAAGAAAAGGAGGCTACATTGAAGTTATAGAAGGAGGCAGAGGGAGGAGGGAGTAGGTTGCTATAGAAACCCTTTTATATAAATTGCTCTTGTTTTCTCTCGCAAATTGTTACTAAGGCAACGAATCATTGTAATAGTTAATAAAATAAAAAATTTGTCAACAGTTCTGCAACCTCATCATTTGATCATCGCAATTCTGACACCTGATCATTTGTCCTTCACAGACATAACACTATGTTCATCACCATCTGACACCACACATCTGACACCTGATCATCTTTAGTTGCTTCAGCATATGTAACTAATTCAGAAATAATATTATAACTTGTTATGTGTTTTATAAAATAAAGTCAATGTTATGTAAATGCTTAATAGTAAATGACAAAAAGTTATTCTTTTGAATTCAACGCAGCCTCAGTATGTCTATCTTTAGCTTCGATTGCCTTTATATTTGGTCTTGATATAAACTCTGCATTGGCATTTTTTTTAAGTAGGTGTGATTTCAAAGATCAGAACAAAATGATTCTCCTTCTTTTTCTATTCATGTTCAGTTTTATACTTAATACTCTAGACAACTTAAGTTGATTAAGTATAAAGTTTATTTGTTATAAAACTTTTTTGATTAATAAGTTAACTTTTATTTTTAATACAGAAAAATGCTTAAACCTGGCTAAAAAAGCTTAACCCCCTCCTTTGGGACAGCCCTGTATATAAATATATATATATATATATATATATATATATATATATATATATATATATATACATATATATATATATATATATATATATATATATATATATATATACATATATATATATATATATATATATATATATATATATATATATATATATATATATATATATATATATATATATATATATATATATATATATATTAGTGCTTGCATATATCTTCATGAAAGTACTAATATATATATATATATATATATATATATATATATATATATATATATATATATATATATATATATATATATATATATATATTAGTGCTTGCATATATCTTCATGAAAGTACTAATATATATATATATATATATATATATATATATATATATATATATATATATATATATATATATATATATATGTATGTATATATATATATATATAAATACATATATATATATTATAAATTTCTATTTTTATTTATTATATAGCAAAAGATTAAATAAAATATTTCAGAAAAAAGTAAAAACTATTAAAAATAATTAAAAAAAAAAAGATTCAAACTTGGTGACAAAAACACAAAAATATTTAGTTAAAATATTTCACCTGCACTAAGAATGAATTCTTCTGCTTCAAATAATTCTGAATAAATATTTTTATCTTCATCATGGAAACTGCGTTTCGCTACTGTCAGTGATTTGTACAACATTTGTATTGTTTCCGCCATATCTCGACATATAGCTATAAGTTGATGGAAAATATGACATCTTCCATTTGGGTTCTCTAAATTTTAACTTCTAACAATTAAAACTTTTATAAATATGACATCTTCCATTTGGGTTCTCTAAATTTTAACTTCTAACAATTAAAACTTTTATAAATATGACATCTTCCATTTGGGTTCTCTAAATTTTAACTTCTAACAATTAAAACTTTTATAAATTAAGAAAAATTGTAAATGTAAATATTGAACTAAATAAATACATTTAAAGTGGTCATCTTACTCTAGAATAAATTCTGCTTTTGTATTGGCATATATGAAGATATGCAAGAAAACTTAGCAACCTCATAGTATTAACTAAGAAATTTTAACTTCATAATTGTAAATATTTCTAGACACAAGATTTAAAACTTATTGTGAGTTTACTTATTTTTATAATCAAAATATACTTCTAAACTCATGGTGGAAAATTTAGTTTTTTTTGTAAAGTATGCAGTACTTCTGTGCATACTTTAACTATTTAGTCAGTCAATCAATGTATTTAAGCCCCTGCCAGTAGTCAGTCAATGAACGTACTGAAGCCTCTGCCAATAGTAAATCAATGAATGTACTGAAGCTCCTGCGAGTAGTAAGAAATAATGATAGTATTAGTAGCCTGTCCAAACCCTTATTTAATGTATATACTGAATCTTTAGGGCTACAATAGATTTAACACACATATACACCCTAATAATCAGGTGTTTTGGTATAAAGTTTATGCTAATCTTGTATTCATAACTTTCAACATATAAAAGTTAAAAAAAAAAAAGTTTATTTAAATGCTTTTAGAAACATATTTTGAAGTTTTTGAAAAGTTGTATTTTAAAAACAAGAAATATATAACATACTTTATTAAATGAACATATAATTAAAAAAATTGAAACAGAATTAAAATAGAATCAAAAATAATTCCAGATACAGTTGCAAACAACCGTACTTATATCAACTAAATTATTAATAAATAAAAAATGTATATTCAAAAGGATTAGGTTGTGGGGTGTATAATACCTAAACCTTGTCACAACCTAAATATGTAAAAAATATACCAAATTAAATATGCAAAAATTGTCACAACCTAAATATGCGAATATTGTCACAACCTTTATATGTAAACATTGTCACAAATTTAATACTTGATAAAACAATTTCATAATAAGATATTTTTATACTTTAAAAATATTTTATTGCTTATAAAAGTTTATATTAAAAAATTATAGAATTGCTATGTAAAATTTATAAACAAATATTTTACCAGGTATCTTCCATCTTTTTCTAATCATATTTGTCATCATTTGATGTTGAGGTGAAGAAGGGAGAAATGATTTTGTTGAAACACCTCGGTCAGGTTTTACATTCCAAAAAGGATTTGAAAACAAAGCATTATTATTAGGTTGAAAAAATGGCGTTTTTGTAATTATTGCAGAAGAATGATTTTCGGTATCTCTCCTAAAGCGACGTTTTTTTAATTTCAAAGTTTTTATAACTTCTTTTATTTTAAAACCTGCTGTATTATTTGAACTACTTGTCTTATTTTTCTCTTTGAAACTAGGGAAAAAAATTGACTTTGTTTTATTTTTACTTTTATTTTTTGTTCCTTTTTCTAAAATTTCTTTCATCTCTTGTTCATCTTTAGAGAGCAACTTAGGTTGCTCTTCTACTTTTTTTAATTTGTTTTTTATTGCTTTGCTTGGTAAGTCTTGTTCGAGCTCTTCTTCAGTTACAAGGTCTTCAGCTAGATCTTCAGCTGAGTTATCATCATTTTTTGAATCAGTTGAACCTTCATCATCTTCACCAAAGTATTTATTTTCTATGTTATTTTTGTTGAGAATTTGTTTTAACTCGTCTCCAGCTGATGACGCTGAACCACTAGTGGAGGTTTCGCCACTTGCAGAACCAGAAAACGGGATAAAACCATCAACCTTAATAGGAGCACTTATTTTGATTTCAACAGGATAATCTGTTGGAGATGAGATATTAACTTGTGAAAGAACAGGCTTAATAGTTTGTTTATCGTTATTTTTACTTGTTTCAACTTTAATTGTGAAAGGTTTGAAATTTGAAGAGTGAAGTTGTAGAGGAGATTTATTTAAATGATTATTAGAGTATTCATTGTCAACAATTGACTCAGAATATTCAGGAGCTTTAGATGGTGGAGATGGTTTTATTGTGGAGTTTGTTTCAACATTATAATCTAAATAATAAGGAGCCTGGATTCCAAAATCACCATCCTCGATAGAATCAGGTAAATTTATTTGACTTGTGGGATTAGGCAATGGGAGTACCATATTATTTGTTTTTTCTTCAATCTCATCAACTATTTTCAAAATCTTAGATGTGTCTTGATTTAAGTTTTCATCTATCTTTACTGAATCAGGAAGCTCATGAGCTTCGTTCAGTTGCGCAGTTACTGAAGATACATCATCTAAAGTTGTATCTATTATGTTGGGAAAAACATAGTTTGCTAATGATTCAGTGAGAACAGTGACAAGATCTTCTTTTAAGCAGCTCCATATGCTGATGTTTTTCTCAGGTTTATCAAAAAGTACAACTAGTGAAATAAAAAATTTACATTATTTCATCCATTTAAGATATTAAAGTTTTATATAGACAATTTATAAAATAAAGCAGCATATATGCATAGATAACTTTACCTGCTACATGAAACTGCATACACCCAGTAGATGCTTGTTCAATACTTGTATTATAACAAACACTGTTTATTTTAGCCCAACCATAAGGGGATCCAAAATTGCGAATTGCATCAGCCCCATTCAAGCCAGGAGATGAGTCTTCTTCTATTATTTCTTTTGCATCCAAAGCAGCTTCTAACACTGCTTGATGCTTCCCTTTGTTGATTTCACTTTTTGTAAGTAGCTGCTCTAAGTTATCTAGTTCTATACCATGTTGTATAATTGAAGCCTAATAAAAAATAATCATTTTATTAACTTTGGATCAAAAAAAAGGACCAAAAGTTGAAGGTATTACGAGGTGGAAAAAATGTATGCTTTATATCTTTATTATTCATATTTTTAGATACAAAAAATACAAAAACAAAATCAAATCAAATATTTGTTTGACCTCTTTTTCAGAAAGTACTTTCTCAGCAGCTGTTCTAATAACATGACATCCATCATGTTTTGAAATACAGAGAGGGTTTATATTTTTCCAACAACACTTTTTCCAACTTGAACAGGCAATACAATGTCCAAAAATATCTAGTCTGCAACATTGATTAAGTTTCGGACAACCAAAACAACCTAGTAATAATTTTATAAACAGAAATCAAGTAACTAAAAAAACTTTAAAACTATTCTAAAAAAATTTTGAGTGACAGCAACACACTTATATTATACACCCTATTAATAATAACAAACATATTGAGAGTATTTTAAATGTCTCTAAAAACTTGTTTTTTGTTCAAAACTCTTTTTTAAATTATACAAGCAGTGCCATACCTAGACATAATTCCAAACCGTTTTTTTACAACAATTAATTTAATGTAAATTAAAGCCACATAAACAATATCCAAAAACAATTCAAATATTCAAAATAATTAAAAATTTTCTTGAACGCATAGGTGATATTGCTATTTCATACGTAAAATGGGTACTTTATAACACTTCATAACAATATATTTATAATTTCATAAATTACCCGGTGTTTTTTTAGAGGACCTTTTTTGGAGGGAATCAGTTTTTTTTTATAGATATTGTACAAACCATCTTCTATAAAAGAATAAAATTTTGAGTTTGCAATATAATAATAATGTTATGGTATATAATGGTATGAAAGGGATATAAGTAATAACCATATTCCTTTTAATCAGTTATGGTTAACAATTGATTGCATGTTACCAGTGGCAGAGTGATCCTTGAACTGACTAGAAAGACCTGACTAGAAAGAACTGACTAGAAAGTTTATTTTGATTTAAATTTTGTTGACATATTATGATTTTGTTTATTGTGTTTTAAACCCATGAGAACACCCTAGTATTTCTAAAAAAATAATAAATAAATAAAAATGATACTCAGTAATGATTACCTACTTTGATTGGATGAAAAATATTGATTTATTAAGTCTGAAATACAATATGTCTTGCTTGTCGTATTTTAAAAAACTTATGCCTTTGAATGGATATAAAGCTTTGCATGCTGTCACAACTTTTTTCTTAATTTAATTATTAATTTTAATCTTAAAAAATTCAATTCTTAGAACATTTATAACCTCTTTCACCATAGAATATGCTAAAAAAATTGACATTAATGATTAAAACTGAAAAATGCATTTTTTATTGGATAAGAGAAAGTCTATGCCAAACAACCTTTTAGTTAAAAGTTTTTTTTTTTTTTTTTAATTTTAATTTACGTCCTCAAGGCCGAGAAGGCCACTACAGACGAGGAGGCTACTTATTTGTGGTTATAACCCTCTCTCAACTTTATAACTCCGAAACATGAACCTTGACGAACAAGGCCGCTGCGTGGAGAAAGGAGTTGAGTGCGGTACTTCCAGGAACGTGGTGGGGATCAAACTCGGAACCACTCTTTTATGAAGCGAGCGCTCTACCACTACACCACTACCGCATTAAGTACAACTATGGTTAAATAACACGATGCATTCAGATAAAGGAAAATGATGAAAAAATATGTTTAAATATTATGAATAATGAATGAATCGAAAGTAAAACAAACCTTAATGTTTTTGTAAAATTAATTGAGTTATTGTAACGATAAACACAATTTAAAGGAATACCAATTTCAAAATGTGAATAATTTATATGCACTTATGTATGTGCATATGAGTTATAATTTATTATTATTTAATTTTAAAACTTTGATTATTTATTATAAATAATGATAGACTATCAAAATTTATTTTACTAACATTATATTTTAATTAATTAGACTTTTTATATATTGATTTTAGACTATTTTTTGATGTTTCTCTAGGCTTAACTAACATCATCATTTTTAGCATAATATTTGTGATGTTTCTATTGGCTTAACTTGATCAATGATCTTATCAAACTATGATCACCTAAACCTAATGGTGTTATGTAAATCATAAGTTGGCAATATTTAATGAGGATTATTTTACTAATAAAACTTTACTTGTTACATTTACAATTCTTGTAATAATATATTAATTATAAACTAATTGGTAGATATATTAATAAGTTATCTGTATTTTACAAACGATGTGTGTTGTGTTAAAAACTTTTTCATTTTAATAGATAAAAATGGAAAGGTGCAATGTATTTGTTTTGAACACTTCTGTATGAAAAACATTTACTTATTAATAGTTTAATGTAATTTATTGCAATGGTAGATGTAGTTGTTTAAAATAAGTCTTTATTTACTATGAAGAAATATAACAAAAAAACCCAGTAAATCATATAAATTATAAGAGTCATTTTAACATGGTTTACTTGTTTGTGCAGGATATAAATCCTATTATATTGGCAAAACCTCTTGCCACCTAAAGATGCGAGTGATTGAACACTACAGAAGTGATAAAAACTCTCTTATTTATAAGCATCTTCACTCAAAAGAAAAATGTTTTACAAATTATAATGATGAATGCTTTTCAATTTTGAATCGTGCTAAAAATAAAATTGAGTTAAAAATTACAGAAAGCATTCATATAGAATGGGGAAAACCAGATATGAATAAACAAGTAAACCATGTTAAAATGACTCTTATAATTTAATATGATTTACCGGTTTCTTTTGTTATATTTGACATTTGTTAAATAATTTTTTAATAATTCTTTTTGTAAATATAAGAAGTTAGTTTACAATTATATGGCTTTCATTATGTTTATTTTTACAACTATATCCTATATTTTATACTGTTTTTAACAAATATCTTTTAACTGATGATGACTATATATAGTTGAAACATGTCTGGATAAATAAAATGATTTTAAATAAAATTAATAATAATAATATATATATATAAAATATATATATATATATATATATATATATATATATATATATATATATATATATATAAATTGGTAGAAAATCAATTACCAAAATTTTTTTTAAAAAAAAGTACCATTTGGCAGGGAATAACTCCTTTATAAAGTTTACAAGCATTCACATTTTAATAAGCATTAACTATTTACATTTTTGTGCATACAACATGCATCATCTGGCCTGTTAACTCTCGGAAATTTAACTTAATAACTTAGCATTTATAATTTACAAAATCAGTTTAAAAAATTAACTTACGAACTTGGCATTTATCAGTTACACACGTGTCATTTGCCATAACTTCAAACCTGCCATATTCTAATAACTGCTGTTCATAGAAAATTCTAGCCCTATCGCGTTGATTACGTACAGTTGATTCCTCCATATCAGCTTTCTCATAATACTTTTGGGCATTAATAAGATTATTATCTGCCTTCTCCATATTTGCAATACTTTGATTAGCTGATTTTGATATTGTCTCAATTAGCAAGTCTTGAACTTGTTTAGCAATATCCGCCAAACAGCCAAACACCTAAATATATAAAAAACCATTATAAAGTCAGCAAAATAGTTTAACGCATAAAAATATAAAAATATATTTGAATTTTTGCAAAACAGCCAAACAACAAAAAATATAAAAACACATTAGAATATGAGAATAATCAAAATCATAGAAGAGCATTTTAAAAAATCTATATTTTTTAAAATCTATAAAAAAAAAAGACTTTTTGGCTATAATGGCCTCCTTAGCGTTGGGAGGTAAATATATAATTTTTAACAAAGCTAAATTTCTTTTCTTCTTTTTCAAATAAGTTCTTCTTAATCTTTTAATATTTTTAAAATTTTGCAATATTTTAAATTTTCAAAATATTTAATTGAATAAATAAATATATAGCATAAAAAAAAAAAAAAATTGTTCAAACAAACATTTTATTGTAACATAAGATATACATGATCTTCTAAAAGTCTTTTTTGTTTTTCGAATTTGTAAATTCCGAAAATTTATATACAAACTTCAAAATACAAACTTTTATTTCTTTTTATTTGATAAAGCATTAAATATTTTCAGGGTTAAATTATAAACTATAATTAACATTGTTGTTTAAACCTGGTAATACTAAAATCTTTTTTTATTTTTATTTTTTTGTGTTGTTTAGTGTTAGTTTATTTTTTGTGTTGTTTTGTTTTAGTTTATTGTGTGATTTTGTGATTTATTGAAATTTATTGCAAGAATTGGTTTTTATAATAAATTTCAGCATCTACAAAAACCTAACAAGAACTGACTAAAAGATAGAAAAATTAAATGTAAACTAAAGGACTCAAGATAAATAAAAAAAAGACAACATAAACAAAGGAAATGTTAACCTTAACAGATAAAATGTTATCTTGTTTAAACAACAAAATGTTATCTTGTTCAGTTAAAGCTCAAAAGAAGTCTCAGATACCTAACCTGGTGATACAACAGCATTTCAATGTTTGGATCTTGTCAAAAAGAAAATTTTTTTTGATCAACAGATCAAAAATGTTGTCAACAAACTAAATATGACATCCTTGTTCCATACAAGAACAAATAAGCGGTTTAAATTTTAAGTTTTAGGAATTAGGGAATTATAAGTTAGAAATTAGCGAGCACATTGAACAACAGAAATTAGGTAATCAGGAGATAGAAACTAGTGAGCGCGTTGAAGGGAGGTAACCTTAGAAAATATTAACTTTGCAATCGATTGAACATATAACTTCTACTAGAAGTCAGTAATGAAGTATAATATGAGAAGATATAAAGTAGAGGACTGAAGTATAATATGAGAAGATATAAAGTAGAGGACTGAAGTATAATATGAGAAGATATAAAGTATCATATGAGAAGATATAAAGTAGAGGACTAAGTAAAAGTTTTGATATTCATCAATATTGAAAAAAACATTTTTGACAATTATTAGCAGTAAACAACTTTTGATTGGGTTTAAAGATCACCAGTGACTGCAAGACCCAAACTGTCACATAAGAGAAACCACATAAAATCAAAAAGTAACAAAGTTTTGTCTAGCTAGTAAGAGTATATAACAAAGTCATCAACTAAAAGAGTCACTTTTTCAGATCAGGGAAATTGTTTTTAAAAAATAGAACAACACAATAGCAACAATGAAATTCCAGAATTAGTACCCCAAAATTTACTAGAAGTTTACTAAAGATAAAATTAATACTGCAGTTAGAAATAAATGATTCATTAAATTAAAATTTTATCCAAATGCACCATATGAATTGAGCTTTTACACAAGTTAAATGAGGTGATTAGATCCAAGATTAGAAACAAAAGGTTTAAAAAAAAAAGTTGAAAATGTTCATCTGATAAATTAGATCCAAGAGATGAGTAAAAGAAAAAGTTTATAATAAGTTTTTTTACATATATAATATATAAAATTTTATAATTATTTATGATTTATTATTTCATAGTTCTGCCTTGTTGTTGAAAGAATTCCATGGGTAAAAAACATGTATTTATTGTTGGGAGAGATCCATGAATAAGAAACATGTATTTATTGTTGGAAAAGGCCCATGAATAAGAAATATTTATTTATTGTTGGAAGAGTTCTATGGATAAGAAATAGGTATTTACTTAGAAAGAGAAATGCTATTATTTTTATTAATGAGTTTGTTAAAAATGATTTAAAAGTCTCTCGATCAAAGTTTTATGAAATATGAGATTTATTAATTTGAGAATATTGGACCTTAGCAACAGACAACACCTAACATCAGATAGCATTTTAGGAGTTTAATAAAAGATAAGATAAATGAGCTGACCTCAGCAATAATGAAAAGAAAAACAACATCAAAAAGAAAACTTGCAAAAAATTATAAAAAACAATAAAAAAAAGAAAAGAGCTAAACAGAAGCACATAATAAAATTTAAACTTCACAACATACGATTTCACAACTTTTAATTTCACAATAAATAGGTAAATTAAAAGGAATGATATGCTTGCCTATTATTATGATTTTCAAACATCAATATGCATTTTTAAAATAGAAACATCGTTTCACAATATGTCTTTAAAAAAATGCATTTAATAACATAATGCATTTAATAACAAAATAATAAAAATGCATTTAATAACATTTAATAACATAAAAATGCATTTAATAAAATATTTATATTAATCCAATGAAAAAAAAAAATCAGTTAATATTTATTTTTGTAACCTTTACAATTATTAAAGCTTTTCGAAAGCAACTTGCATTACAATTGAAAGCAACTTGCATTACAATTAAAAGCAACTTGCATTGAAAAAATTAGTTTAAATCAGGAATGCTGGGAAGTTCAGACTCCAAATTATCTTTTTAATCATGATAAAAACTATACATACATACACCAAAGTATATTTTGGAGGTGTTTTAAGTCTTCACTCAGTAGGCGCTTGTGAGTACCACCTGAATGCAAAACCTCTGAGCATTAAAAATACCAGATAGCTCAGACTTTAAAGATCTCTTGACATTATTTATATGTAACTTAACTATAAATAACTTAAACAAACCGACACTGCACTGTACAGTTGCCATAATAGCCCAGACAACGATATACTAAAAAAGAATCTTACTACTTTGTTTTATAAACACACTATTGATGAAATCACCTTGAATCAGTGGTAAAAAACAAACAAAAAAAAAATGATATAAATCTAGTAACTCTTCCAATTCATGACTTAACTATAAAAGTTTGTCAAATAATAAATCAACTAAAAGAAATGATCACTGTATAGCCAAAATTTGAAGCATCTAAAAATAACTTAGGAAAGATTCATTATATTTCAACCAATGGCCTGTGGGACACTAAATCTGATATTCCTAATGTTTACATATTATTATGTGCATCGCGTAGATAAGTTCAATTTGAAATTGAGGACTTCCAAGTAAAACAGCTTAGAAATTTTATCCTTGTAAACACAAAACAGTGGTCCCCCTTGATTTACAAATGGACAAAATAGACTACTTGAAAGCCTTATAACATTTTTCTCCTTTCAACAAGTGTATCATCTGTGCTAGAACTATTGTCTGGGTAGTTCTCTCTTTAAAAGTGGTTTTTATCAACTTGTATCATATTAGAGAAAAATTATAACCTCAACTTTGGAAAATTCGAAAATTGCTAAAGTAAAGTTAACTGTAGTATTTTTCTAGTCAGTCATAAGTTTCTACAGGTACGTTTTCTGATTAGATATTATTGTCTGTAAAAGCGGGCAAAATATGAACAGCTTGTTGGAGTTTAGAACTCAAATAAATCTAAAAGTGTATTGCCCATTTGCCTAAAAAGTCCAATTTCAGCTATTTTAAGATGCTTGCATAATTTTCCTATACTTTGTTTTGATCTAAGACTAAAAGCATATAAGACCATTAGACCCAACTATGTAAATGCAAACTTTATAAACTTGTCAAATTTACACCAAAAATACCAGCATTTTTAAATAACCCTATTTTTCAATTGTTTTTAACTAATAATTAAATGCACTATTGGAAACCAGTGCCCCTCCAACCTGTCTACTGGCCCATGTGAGGACTGCAACCAGTTAAGTAATTTCTTAACAAAAAGAAAGATATAGCTTAGAGATCTTTATGGTTCAAATGAATTCTAAACTAATTTAGATATTTGTCGTGTTATATTTATATTGTCGTATAATATATATATATATTTTGTGCATTGTTTATATTAATGTCTACATTTGTGTATTGTTTATATTGTCGTGCATTTTTTTTTTGTGGTATTGTTGCTAATTTTTTTTTTTATATATTTTTTATATTTGTTGCTACTATTTAAGTGATTTCAAATTTTTTGTCATGTCATTAAATTACATTCTTTGATTTTATTTTTCATTTTCTATAATCCTTCTTTAAACATTGATTTATCTCATTCATTTATTATCTCTCATATCAGCTCATTCACTTTTTCCTTTTTTTTATGTTACTAGCCTTGCTTTTATTAACAGTTCTTCTTTTTATTTTTTTGGTCACTATCTATACTGTTACTTGTTTTTTTTTTTTGTTTTTTTTAATTTATTTTTTTAAGGTGTCATATTAACAACTCCATAATTTCTTAATGAATTGTATCTTATCAGCAAATTTATAAAAATTAAGGAGTCGGCTTTATATACAAATTAAAATGTCTTTACACTTCTTAAATTGCTATTTTTGACCCATCATCATCATTAAACTTTAATCACAAGTATTCTGCTTTAAACACAATGTTCTAAACACATGACAGCAAACAAACATTTTCAAATTTAATTAACATAATGTTTGGCTAAATACTGCATTGTAAACATATAACTTTACCTGAAATGTATCAGTTGATACAGTTGAATATGCTGTTAGTGTTGTTTCTTTATAGTCCATTAATTTTCCTGTCACAACAAATGATATGCTATTGTCATCTAAAGTAACTTCTACATCATCTTCTATTCCTAGAATTTTAACAAATCCTTTTGCCACAACTTTTGCTTTATCACTTGTTATATCTGCAATCAATTTTGGTCCTCGAATCTTTATTTTAGCATCTTGTTGAATAATAATTTGACCTTTTGCAAAAATTAAAGGAGCTGGGCTGTTTTCAGTCACAATTCTTATAAAATTTTGTCCAATAATAGAAATTTCAGATTTTAAACGCCTTTCAAAAATAGTTATATCGCCTTTCAATTTTATCGCTGGTTCAAGATTTAGACGCCCATTATAAATAAGTACAAAACCAGTTGGTAAACTTGACTGCTTTAAAATATTAGGCAACACCGCTTGAATATTAAACGCTTTCATTAGATCAGGAAGATTGGCTGTAGAAAAATTAACATAAAAATTACTTGCATAGACCTCCAATGGGTTAAGTTCAAGTTTTAGTGGTGCACTAATTTCATAACCTTTATTGATGCCAAGTAAAGATAGACCTCTAACATTAATTATGCGTAGGTCTGCTTTTGAACGATACTTCATAGCAACATTAAGATTCATGAAAGATAAACTCTGCAGACCAAATGGCTCTTCCCAGATTTTATATCGATCAAATAACTCTAGCATGGCATCCCCATTTTTAAGGATATGAATATTTCCATCAAAAACCAAGTCTAATGATGGGAATTTTATTGTAGTTTTGATATCTAAGCGTGATTTTTTTCCTATCGTAAACTGCAAAGTATTGTTTATACCATGGATTTGTGACGAAAGATTTAAATTGTATGGTATATTAGCATTAAGATAAAAATCTTCTAAATCTAAAGTTCCTTTTAAAGTAAACAATTTTGAAACATCTAACAGATGAGATGCTGTTATACACATTTTATCATCGCCGCAGTTGTCAGGGAAACGAAGTAATGCAATAATTGTAAGTGCTTTTTTAACAGGCAGTCTCAGTAAAGGAGTGGTTATTATATGTGGAGGAAGTAAACTATATGTAGCAAGAGGTGAGCTTATGAGTGTAGTCATAATTTTACTGTTATGGAGTAAATTTATATCAAGACTTTCAAAGCCTGTAAGAGCTTGTATAATGTTACTTAAGGGTGTATGTTTGAATGATGCTACCCATTTACAATGCCAATAAGATGACTTATAAATCAACAGCATTGCTAATTGTATATCTTTCTCAAATGCTGGAAGATTTGTGAGACCAGTAATAAGTATGTGTGGTGTTCCATTTAGCCGAGGTACCCTTGAGAATAAACGCACTTTTCGAATTATTAAGTTACTGATTTCCGTATTTTCTATCATGTCTTTAACATTGTTACTTGGATAGAAATCAGGGTCAAATTGCTCAATTATATCTTCCAATGGTAGTTTTTTTATAGAACCAGTTAAACCATATGGTTTTCCAGCTTCATCAGAAATTTCTGCATACTGCACTTGAATATTAGATTTTCCAATCTTTAAAATACCCTTTGCTGAAACTGTCCATTCTGTTATTTTGTTATCTAATGCTACGGCTCGTTGCAAAACAAAATTACTAACACTTATTCGAATGAGATTGGGTACTAGCTCAATATCTTCTTGTAATCTAACAAAAATACTAAAAAGACTAGTTGAAGAATCAAAGCTTACATGAGTGGTAAAAGCTTTTTCAAGATTTTTAGAAATAAATTCAGGAAATATCTTAGTTGAAGCACTAGTAAATTCTTTAGAAACAGTGGTTATTACAGATTTTACAGACATTTTATCACTCTGTGCTATCAATAAATCAAAGTTTGGTTCCTTTATTACAAAAGCAGTATTAACTGAGTCTGTAGATCGCACTGACAAATTATGAAGCTGCAGCGGAAACAGTAAAGTAACTCCTAGAGGAACATGGGATTGTAAAACCTTTTCAATAATAGTTCCAGATAAAGTACTATCTTTATAATTATATACTTCATCGTACGAAAATGCGATTCCAAATATTTTTTTTTTGACTGAAAACAAACTACTACCAGCTAACATGTGTGCAAAAAAAGGGATATTTAATGTCTTTTGATTCATTATCTCCTTTAGAATTTTTTCAGGTTTTTCATTTTTAACTTCAAACACTGAATAAATGTTTATGGGGAGCTCAGGTTGTTTTACAATGTTAACTTCCATTCTAAATGGCTGAATTCCATCAAGTGTAACAAGTCCTTTAATAATAATACTAAATGCTTTGTGCTTCTTGGTAATTTTTCCTTCAACAGTAGCATTTCCCAACAAAATGGCATTTGATTCAATACCAATCTCTTTATACGTATTGTTTCTGAAAAATTCAGAAACAATATCTTTGAAACGTAATAACCTAACATTTCCTTTAAAGTCCCCTGAAGAATTAACAGCAATTTCAATAACGGAAGAACCAATTACAAGTGAACCTAAAATAAATTTAAAAACCATATTTTACCTATTGCTATAAATAAATAAATATATATATATATATATATATATATATATATATATATATATATATATATATATATATATATATAAATATATATATATACATATATATATGTTTATATATATATGTTTATATATATATATATATATATATATATATATATATATATATATATATATATATATAAATATATATATATATATATATGTTTATATATATATGTTTATATATATATATATATATATATATATATATATATATATATATATATATATATATATATATATATATATATATATATATATATATATATATATATATATATATATATATATAAACTATATACATTTTTAGATTTATATTAACAGAATTTATATATTAGAACAGTAATGAAAGATTTTGTAGATATTCTTTGTCTACGAAACATCTTTTTTACATGTTCCGTATTTCTTATCAACTAACCATCAACGGAAGACTAATGTTTTGTAATAACTTTTTTTATTGTAAAATGTTACAAAATATTTATGATACATGGCTATTTACATGAGATTTACATAATCAAACAATTGAATGATATTGGAGGTTAGTTTATCTGATACCTAATAGTAAAGGTTAGTAGCAAAAATATGTTGAAAACTGTCTGTTTTCGATGCATAAAAACTAATGAATAGACTTACGTTAAATTGCTTTTAAAAATCTGAGCGAAAAAAAGATTGCTAATTAAAAATATATATTTTAAAATAAAAGTCAATAAAATTAATTTAAAACAATAGTAGCGTTAGAAAGTTAATAAATAAAAAATGCAGTATAGCGTTTTGGAATACATGTAAAATTAATGTGTAAATAACCGTATAATATAATGCATAAATTAACATTTAATGTTTTTTTAACTAGATATTTCCTCTATTGAACAGGTCTTCACCATTATAACAAATTTTTACTGTGCAATGCTGACATTGATTTTTTGGTATTTTAACACACTCGGTCCCACTGTGCAATGTTACAAATTTTGACAAAATTTTTTACCCATGTAAATTTTTTATTGTTTGTTAATTAATATTATCTGATAATTTTAAAAATGTTAAAACTTTTTCTACATCATTCGCTGTTTAAAGTTATAGTTGCCTGTACATTAGGGATGTGACTTTTTGGTAAATTTTTGGTATTTCCAGTTTCCAATATAAAAAACAGAAGAACTTTGGCTTAAAAGTAATTGAAAAGTCATTGGTTTTATTTAAATTTTGAAAAAAGTCACCCACCATGACCCTTGATTACACATTGGCTCCCATATATCAGGGAATTTTTTTCTTCAAAAGTATATCAACCTGGGTCTCAAAAAAATCAGATTTTATAGTGATTTCAAAATTCATAATCTTTCCTACTAAAACATAAAAAAAAAATTAAAAACAAAATGTCATAAAAAACGACCTTTTTAACTTTTAGGTCAAAATTGTTATTTTTTGTATATAAAATATAAGCAATTCATTTTTATTTGAAACCATTATTATTTCTGAAATCTCTATGAAATATTGGTTCTTTTGAGACCCAGGTTGATATAATTTTGAAAAAAAAAATTCACTGATATATGGGAGCTAGAGTGTAATCAAGGTTCATGGTGGCTGACCTTTTTCAAAAATTAAATAAAACCAATGACTTTTCATTTACTTTTAAACCAAAGTTTATCTGTTTTTTATATTGGAAATTGGAGTTATCAAAAAAGTCACATCCCTAGTGTACATCGTTAGTGTCTCAAAAAACATTTCATTGGTTGTTCGTGTGTTTCTCGAAGTCTAGGCTGGGATCAGTAGTAGAAAAATTACAAGATAGATACTAATATTTATATTGTAGATGGAAAAATACTTCATTAATAGGTACTTTAAACACAAGGTTTTCCATTTTCATGAAAATTTTTTCATAAAATGTATAAAAATTTTTTTGCAAGCCTGCAATCAAATATGTATGAAAAGTTTGAGCTCAAGGCAAAAATTTTTTTTAAAATATCTTAAACTACTCTGTTCTTCTCATAATGGCTACTAGAGGATGTCCATGAACGGTAGTGGTGTAGTGATAGAACGCTGACTTCATAGGAATGGTTCTGAGTTCAATCCCCACCACATCCCTGGCAGTACTGCGCTCAATTTGTTTCTCTGCCCAGCAACCTTGTTCGTCAAGGTTTGGGTTTCGGAAGTATAGAGTTGAGAGAGGGTTATAACCATAAATATGTCGCCTCTTTATTTGTAGTGGCCTTCTTGGCCTTGAGGAGGTGAATTAACAAAAAATTCATTATACTCTGCAAAATTCTTACATTTAATTTAACTAAACATGAAGTATTTATAACGCATTTATTTTCTAATGACATTTTGAACCCTACTATTTTTTGTCTATGTTGATGTTGCTAAATGTTGCTTCTCTATTCCTTTAAATAGGAAAATGCAATAAATATTTCAACTCTAAAGTCAACAAGTAACAGTAACAAAGACATAGAAAAAGCTTTTGTTTAAATAATAACTTTCTGCCTCACTTATCTATAACAATAAGAATGAGCTAGATGATTTAACCCTTGTGTTAATACCTGTGTACTCAAGTATCTTTCAAGTTGCATTTGTATGAATAAATCTGAAAAAAATTTCAATTTGATCTTATGGATCATCATTAATTACATTAAAAATAGGTGATATGTGTTGGCTAAACAATAATAAATAAAAAATACAAAAAATCAGTGTCAACTTTAGACATGGCTTTATTCATGCCTGAGTACCTTAAAACTTTTTCTGTAACAAAAAAAATTTTGTTTATTAACACATGCAACTAATCAGAAAAAAGTAAAGAAAAATAACCATTATTTGGTTAAAAAAATACTATTTCCAAACATTTAACAAAATTTGTTGAAGGCTTATCACAAACTGACAGTTGACATTCAGTGCAGCACTTTTATGTTTCTTGTCATCTTTTTGTTATCAGTTTGTTGCACGTAACAGGATCCTATGATTTTATTTTCTTCCGGTTGTGTTCTGCTGAGTCAATTGATCACTTACCACCCCTCTCCCTTAGTCTTTCTCAAGAATAAATTATTTTACTAATGTATATTATACCCTGCAAAAGACATGTGTTTTCAGTATCACAAATCCACCATATTTTGATACCATATTTAGTCTGTTTTGATGGTATATTGACTGAAAAGAATGTGGTTAATCATCAATAGTTAAATTCTCTGTAGGCTTATAAATATGGGACAAATTTGCATTCACATTGTCCATTGTGTGTACTATTGTCATCAAATCTTAAAAAACGCATAATGCTGTGGAATTATCAAGACCTAATATTGCATGATACAGTGGATATGAGTTGAAATATCATTTGTCAAAAGTATGATCAGTATTGGAATTATTAGCACAGTGCAAATTAAAATACCAAAGAATGGAAACAGGCTTCCATTGTTACAGCGAATTTGGTTAGTCTGATTACATAAACAAAACCTTCTTATCTGTGTTTCAGAAATTAATTTTCACTATAGTCTCAGTAAAATATTTTATTAATAGCATCTCTGCGCTCCCATGAGGAACACTTCACTCAGAAAAAAATAACTTAAACTTGCTTAACAAGTTTAAATACTAAATAGCATATTTGCTATAAAGCTTGCTATAACTTGTGTAATGATCTATGTTATTGTAAAGATGTGACTGGTTTATTTACTTTTCTTAATCTCAAACATGATCTTGGACAATGACAACTGTTTATAGATAGCTCAAAGCAAAGTCTCAAAGCAGCGTTACTCCATAATATTAATAAATATCTATTTTTGGCTCTTGTACACTTGGTACATTTGGTACATGAAAAAAAAGACTATGATAATGATAAAAAACTTCTTGACAAAGTAACACAGTTCATAATCTCAATTCATGTACTCAATTTATGTGGGATGTATTTAGTGATTTCAAGATGCTTACTTTCTTGATTGGCTTGCAAGGAGGATACACAAAGTGTTCATGTTTTTTTTACTTATGGGACAACAGGGCTGATGATGATCATTATATGAAAGTTTATTGACCTCCCCTACCCCAGAAGAGAAACTACAGCCAGGATTGTTCGATATTCTCAAGCAACATATAATAGATTTCAACAAAGTTTTATTACCACCATTTTATATAAAACTAAAACAATAAAAAAGTTTGTAAATATCTTTTTACAGGAGAAGTGAAACCAAGATTTTTTTTGTGTGTGTCAACATAAAAGCAGGTGTACTTTTTGGACCCCTAATAAAAAAAATTTATAAGTCAAATAAACTTGAAAGAGCAATAGCAAAAGTTAGAAGCTTTGGTGTGCATTTCTTGATGTACTTCGTAAATTCCTTGAAAATTGCAAGGACCCTAATTACAATTGGTTAAAAAGCTTATTAAAAAATTCAATAAACTGGTTTGTCGTCTGTCCATAAAAATTCTTGTAAAATCTAAGTAAGCAAGATCTTTGTTAAACTGTGTAATGTATATAATGTTTATAGTTTTATATAATTTATATAATGCTTATAATTTTATATAATTTATTAAGTGTTTATCATTTTAAATCATGTATATAACTTTGACAACATTTTTATTTTATTCTTATTTCAGTCCCAACAAGGCTGCAAGCAAACACTATATAAGTTGGTAGTTACATGAAAAAAAAAATAGAGCTAAAGAGCAAGGAAATGGTTGACAGAAGACTTGAAAAGTTGTAGGTTGCATGAGTCCAGAAAACATTATATAGTAAGTAAATGCCTGCAATAAAGGCATTACATACTAACAAACTTTTGCTATTGCTTGGTTATATGAGGTTGCACCTTAAACTACGGTAAAATCTTTTACTCCTTAAAATCTTATTTATAAAACAAATTTTCAAGTTTAGACTTCAAGTTTACCTTCTTCTGGTATATCTGCTTTCTTCTAGATATTTTACTTGCATCCTCTTCCAATAAATGTAATCTTTCTCACTCGGATT